CACTTTCAGCAGCCTGTCAAAATCTAATCACAGATGGCTTCATCAGACAGTGTCTCTCACACTGGTGAAAAGGGTTTCTGCCTTCCACGTGTAAAATTTAGAAAGCTTCCTCCCACAGTAAAGTCAGCCTGAAGGTTTTTTGCATACAGTATCTGCATGAGTGCTGCATGCCGAAGCTGTAACAAGGAAGATGGATGGAACTTGTTACTCACAAGTGATTTACATCTTTTTTTTTTTTTTTTGCTGTTGGCAAAGAGCTGCAGAGGGAACCTACAGATATGACTTGTTTCTTACTTCCCTTTTCACGGTCACACATCAGACTGTCAGAAGACATCCAAAGTTGTCTTCCTTTGGTCTTTAGCCTCTCGTGCACAGCAGGGGGAAAGAAGAGATCGGTCCCTGACACCAGTTTTTCCCTGTGCTACTACACTCATCCCACCTCCCCCGCATGGTGATCTACTTCTCCTGCTGAATGTTCCTAGGCTATTCATCTCTTTCTTCCTCTTCCTCCCCACCCCTTCCTCTCTACTGTATCTGCCTCCCCACTGCAACGGCTTCATGTTGTGGTGCACCTTCGGGCTGTGTGTGGGATGGTGTTGTGGGCTGGCATCTGGCAGCCTCTGATAAGAGAGCAAGGGAGCCGGTGCTATTCCTTCTGAGATGTGTTTTAAATTATTTTTTAAGAGTATTGGCCAAGGTTTTTCTCTGCGTCTGAAGGGCATTGTCTACTAAATACTTCAAGTGACCAAATAGGGGCTCCAATGAGAATTGTCTGTATTTCTGAGATTGTCTTCTACGCTGCGACAAAACTTAAGACATCCAAAAGCTGATTCTGCCTAAAGAAAATGGCACATAAGTCCACAGAGGAAGAGAAAATCCCCACTCAACTTATTGTCAGGAGTCGTTTTATATTATTTTATTTATTTTTTTTTGTTAACACTGAGACTTGGAAGCCCCCCAAAACAAACAAGTCACATGTTTTTAATCCGGAAAATGTTCCATTTTATCTGCCAACTTCCAGCTCCACAAGCCATGCAGATGTCAGATAAATAGATGAGTGAAAGATCTGTTAATTATTAGATTTGGCTGCAAAGTAACTTTTTTTTCCTTTGAATCCTGCCAGAGAACCAGATTGTTCCGTAATGTGCATACTTCCATTTGTTGGATGTATTTCTTTCTTGATTGGTCACCCCATTGGTCAGTGCATGGACACGTAAAGCTAGAGTCAGTGTGAACAGTGACAGATTCATGTTTCCGGGATGGTCTGTGAAATCCATATCAACTTTATTTCATATGAGGGTTGAAATCTAGTTCAACCCACAAATCTTGGAGATAACTGGATACTGCAACATGATATTGATCACAGACACACTTTAAATCTGACTTTAGAGTAGACAGAGTGGTGGATACTAAAACCCAAACTCATGTGTTTTGGGTTTTGACCAGAACATTATTGCAGGACTGTGTAACACGCACATATTTGGCAAACTTTCACAATAACTTTGTAGTGTGGCTCATGAATAATCAAGACATAACTGAGTTTTCACTTCTTAGTTTAAGAACACCAAAACATAAAACCATAAATAAACCATAAATATTTGATCTACAAAGACTTCAAATAGGCTGCTCAAAATTTTATGAGCAAAAAAAAGAAAATTGCATGTTCAGTAAGAGAGCATGTTGCATGCCTTCCACAATGATCGTGCATACTGTGCTTTATAAATGAGGATTTTGCGTATGCTACTGTCCCTCAAGGGTGTTGGAGACTGGAGTGAGTTGATTATTTTCCATGTTCTTGCATGTAAAGCACTATTAGTATTAAATGGGTGTTTACCTGTGAGTAAATGCTTCTTAAACTCCTGAGAGAAACAGCTTCCTAAGCTGCTTAGAGACTCGTCTGCCAACTGTGGTTCTGGTCAAACAGCCTGTTTTTCTGCGGAAGGTCAATATGAGAGTTAAATTATCCAGAAGAATCACAGAGAGAGCTGTTGGAACTCTCTAAATGTCAAGAAAAAGGTGTTTCATTGATTCCTTTATCTACTTGAACTTAAAATATACTGAAGTGCCATAAGAGGGAAAATAATAGTGTCCCAACATCATCTAATGGGACTCACCATAGATAAGTTTTAACCTTTCTTTAGAAGTCTTTGTTAGACGTGTTGGAAACACAAGACATTATTATAAAGAAAATATGTTACGAAGATTTTTTTTATTTTATTTTATTTTTTCTAAATCTTTAGAGCGAGTAAAAAATGGATAAGAAGGTGGCTGGACCTGTAGATGGAATTTTCATGTTATGATAGAGGTCTTAAGGCACAGCCAGATATTTTACAAGGCAGAATTACATCTCATATTGGAATAAAAGACTTCTGGCGGAAACTCGTGTTAGTCTACTCATTTTGTCATTAAAATCGAAAGCAAGAGGGCGCAAACTCATCAGAATCTTCTGACCCACACATTGTAACCTCACATCATATTATAAATAGAACGTTAAAAAAATAATCATCTAAGCACCTTATTTCCTCCTCTTTCCTGAACGTTTTAACTTGCGACAACTGAATATTTCCTCAGTGTCCTGCTTTTTTAAAGACGCTCCCCCTGACACGAGAACCCAGTTCATTAAAATTCTGGTGGCGATAGATTTTATTCAATAATTTCTGTTCCAATTATGGAGTCAAAATCTTTTGTTATGCCAGAACTGGGGATGTAACCATAGTAACAATTTTGTATAACTGTGTGGACGTTGCACTCAGTAAAGTCCAAAAGTGTTTACACCACTGGTAGATTGAAATAATTTGAATCGAGCACAAAATTTGTTTTAAATAACAAATGAGACAAGTGTCTTTGAAGATAGGATTCCGACTTTAAAATAATTCAGCTGTTTTAATGTGTTTTTTTTTTTTAAAGAAAAATGGCTTGTCAAAAATAGCCTTCTTATTAATCAATGCAAAAATAATTTGTTTTCCAGCAACAAAAACCTTCTTCTAATTGGTGACCAATTAGGAGTCTCACAGGGTATGAATAATTTTGAGCTTAGTTGTATACGCTTGTATGTAACAGTCTGATTTATCTCTGCCGAACCTCACTCATAATGTTTGTTGCTTTAGTTTGACTGAAATCCTTCTGAATGTTGCACATGTACATGTTAGAATGAGCCTGTATGTTTCACGTATGACTTTTGAAACTAAGAGCACAGCATACAAGCCTAAGACTCCTAGTGTGAAATCTGTACATCTGCTGCCCTGTTGTTGCTTTAGAGAAAAACAAACATGTCTGTAAAACTTGTATTACTTTGACACTCTTGCTGAGTACAAGCAGAACCTGAAATCTGACAAGCTGATAGGTTAAGTAGACAAATCAGAGCGCTCTGAGGATCACAAGCATCTCGCCAAAAGTTGAACGGTACTAAACAATGTGCAGCTAGTGGGGGCTGGAGGTGGAGGACTATTATGAATCATTTTCTTCTTTCTGTTTGGAAGAAATAAGTCTTAAAAACACTTCCTAATGCAATGAGTCCAAAATAAGTGTGAGTTGAAGCATTCCTGTTTCAGATTTAGCTCTTTCTGTTTCTGAGGTGAACTGCATAGTTGAAAAACATAAAAAAAAAAAAAAAAAAAAAAAAAAAAAAAAATCTTCTTATAGTGGTATTAATTTTATTTTAATAGTAATTCAATTTTAAAGCAACATTTGGAACTTGAATTGATGTCATTAAACTCTGTAATCTTTTCATCCATACAGCAGACTAGTGACAAATGGAACCACCATTTCTGCACACAATTTTTAACTAAAATTAGTTTAATAAGACGTGTAAAAAATATCATAGATAAAAAAACAATCAGGGATTTACTAAACAGGGATTTACTAAAGTCTATAGTGATGCACTTGTATCTTGTATCACTGTTTATGGCCTGTTTATTTCTAAATATCAAGTTAAAAAAAAAAAAAAAAAACACCAAAGAAGCACAGAGTAAGTCCTGGAACAGTCCCGATACAGCCAAGTCATCAGGCAGCTCGTGTTTATGTGAAACACCCTCTGCTTTCAGATCGTAAACAGATAATCCAAACAAGATGGAGAAAAAAAAAAATCCCTTTCCAGGAAGTCTGGCTAATTAATCTCAAACCTTAGTAGGTCAAGACTGTAAATAAATTTGACTCCAGGGTTCAATTTATTGAACAGCATTCGTTCCCCTTCTTCCAACCGACTCATTTTATATTTGACTTGGAGGTCAATGAGCTAACATTATACAGTCATTCTGCGCAGCAAAGCAGATCCACTAAACTGCTACAGTTTTCTTCATTTTAGACATCAGATGAGGAGTTTAGTAGATTGGATACATTAGAGCTGGCTTAATAGTTACTGCTGTTTGTGTTGGGCATCAAATGTGTTTTTGGCTTTACATACATTTTCAAAATTTAAAAAATAAAAAGAAAGTCAGGCTTTGGTAAGAGTAATGATTCTCATTATTTACATCTGAAGTATACATTCACAATGTGGGTCTGCCATTTGTTTCTAAAGGCTTTAGGTTCTGATATCCAGAGTATTTGAAATATTCCCGCCGTCTTTTTTAGAAAAGAAAAACAATGTTTTCACAGATTTTTCTAATGTTTTCTAATATTTTTAATGAAAAAAAACTTATTTTATGTGCCAGACTCGTATAGATTGAACTTTCTCATATTCTTGTGACTCAGTGAGTGCAACGTGTTCCAGGTCTGTGGCTGCACAACAAACCAAAACATCACCCCACCACAACCGTTCTTTACATAATGGATTTGTGGTCAAACATCACTACTTCAAGTGAAGGCTGTTGTTAAAGATGTCTTGTGGCTTATTTAAAAGCATCTAGCAAATCAAAGTCCTGCTCCTATAACTGTCTAAAGAGTCAGGGTTTCTGCTGGCAGTGCTTCCAAACAGGCCATTTTTTTCTGTCTTTTTCTCGCCGTCTTGTCCTGGACTTAAGCCTATACAACATGTTAATTGTCAGTGGGGTGCATTTGCTAGGATTTCAATTTCTGTGAAGATTGTCTTAAATATTTCCTGCTTTATAACTGTACAATTATAAAATTCAAGTTGGCTGAAAATCAAGATTGATTGGCACCCATATCTTTCCGTCATGGCATGATGCTAAAGTACACTTGTACTTCCACCTACATTTCTATAAAAAGTAATCACACTTGCTAGCTTTTGACAACATTTATATTTCCACTTAAAATTCACATTTGTCAACTTTATAAGACACACACACAATTTCTATCCAGATGTTGAATTTAAAAGCTGTTTCTTGTTCTTCATTCTTTGTAAACGAGGGTTCAAGCTAACATGAGTTGTTTAGAAGAACAAATGTGCAAAGACGATCATCCCTGACCCTGCATACCTCACCTTTTGCTGCATCTGGTCCTTGAAAGATTCAGAGGTTCTGGCCAGAAAAGTTCAGCAGGTCGGGCTGATGATGTGATGTGCATGGCAGGGGGCCAGCTAAATATTAAATGAACCAGATACACGGAGGGATGGGAGGGGAGACTCTTTGGCTGGATGAAGAGAGTAAAAGCACGAGGCGTGGGCAGTGCGGCTTGTCAGTTACCCATTTATGTCTGAGATAGTGCACAGCCTGCGCTTTGCCTCAGGAGGTGTGAGGAGTGTTGTGTGATGGATGCAGCAGCGAATCCACAACTGGAACGATGTACACGGCCCGGCTTCAAACGGAGCTGTGAGGGAGCCGTCCGACCATGCACAGAGAGCTAACTCAGTCTGGCTTGGTTCTTATATTTTTTATTCTCTAACCACATCTCAAAAGGAGCAGAGATTGAGTTGAGTTATGAGGAGTCAGTCTGCCACCATAAGATAAAATGAATTGGAGTGGAAATTATGAAATCCTACATTTGTAACTGTAAAAAATAAACTTTAGGTTTGTTTATGAAAATGAATGCCAAGTCACGACAAAAAGAGAAAGTAAGCTGAAACAGCAAGTCAGTAGAATAGATGGATTTTGGAAAGAACTTTCTCCTTATCCTTTTTTGGACTTGTAGCTAATGCTAGTTATGTCCATAACCAACAATTTGTACATATTTCCTAAGTAATGAGAAAAAAGCAAGCACGAGGAAAGCGAGAATGCAGCCTAGAGTTGTGTTAAGCATGACTGTTAAGTTAAACTTTGGTGTCAATTCATCAATGGTAAATTGCTTGTGTGTTTTGTCTAGTCCAGAGGGCCCCAAAGCACATGGTACTCACTTCCTGTTTTTGAAAGAGAAGTGTTTACGGTTCCTTTTGCTGCGAAAAATAACAGAAATTAAAACAAATGTCTAATTCCAGGAACATTTACGCCTTTTTGTTCCTTCTGCACACCTGATAAGCTGAAGCGTAAAAAAAGAAATGCATGGAAACCAAAATAACATTTAGAACCGAGCGGCAGCTTATGCATTTGTGGAGCAATATTCAATGAGTCGCAAAGTGACAAGCTCCAGGTGGCTTGAATGGCCCGCGTTGTTATGGTGGTGGTTAAGAAAATAAAACCGGTAATTCTCCATCTGTAGGAATCATTTGAAATCCCCCCTGGCTCATGTTTTCTGCAGTTTTGCTGACAATATAACACAACTTGCTCTGCTCAGCTGATTAAACGTTACCTCAAAATGCAGACATTAAAATTAAAATATTAAACGAGGCTAACTCAGGCTAAACGCCCAGTAGAAAGCTCCAAATTGGCTGTTTTTATATTAGTGTTGTTATAATGAAATTTGTGCACAAAGCGATGAAACATCTCAGAATCAGGAAAAATTAAAAGGACATGGGTGCAATCTAATTAGCTGAAGGTTAATTAGGTCACTTTTTAATTTTATTTCCTGGACTGGTTTTATTTTTAATGCTGTCAGAAACCATGTGGCTTATGTTAAATCCCCATCTGTGACGCTGCCGTTCATTTACTGACTATACAACAGGAGCTTTTATCTAATAAGAAGGATTTGTGATTTTCCTCTGATTCCTCAGTGTTTGCTTTTGAATGTCAGCTGCACAAAGTTGACATCCAAAGAAGAAAGAAAAAGGTGCATGGCCTTTAAGACTTTTGACCTGATCCCTGTCTGATTTATGAAGATATAAAATCAAATAAAGATGGCCTTCCGGCAAAGTTCATCTCTCTCAAAATACTTGTTATTTTTCAGCAAACCTGGTGGGGTGAGAGGAATAACCTTTGATGCGAAATGCAGTGCAACATCGGAAGGAAAGCTGCTAGAAGACTTAAGATTTACCTTCCAGCAGGAGAGTGAACATAAACATACAGACAGGGTTTCAATGAAATGTTCTGGAGCAAATTATATACATTTGTTAGAATGGCCTCGTCAAAGTCCAGACCAAAGATAAATAGGCTTTAAAATTACTGTTCAGCTCAGTTGGCAAACTCCAACTGAGCTGAGCTGTTTGGAAAAGAAAAAGTGAGACAATTTAATTCTCTAGTAGGAGACGTGCAGCTAAGATAAATGTTCACAAATGCAAAGCACGCCTTTGTTATCATCCATCTTTCACCATGCAATTATACAATTTTTGTCTTGGTCTATCACAAAGAAACAATTAAAAATTTGCCCATTTACTAATTTCAAACTGTAAAAAAGTAGTAGTAGTAATTTTCAAGGTTCTGTATATGTTCTTGACAGATGCAACTCAGGCAGATTTTAATCACATAGAAGCCATTCAATCTGCTGAAAAGTCACGGTCATTTGAGATTCCTGCTTTTAACATCCACGTAATTCATTCATGATTCATTCACAGCAATAATAAAAACCCAAAGCTGTTAATGAGAAATTATGTAAACTGTTAAAGGTGCAAGTTTCCCAAAATGTAAACAAATCAATGCTTTAAAAAAAGAAAGGCTTATGTTGTAGCCCACAGCTGAGTCACAGCCGCTGCATTTTTAAAGCCCCTGACGTAGACTGAGTACAGGATTAAATTCGGAGTGTGACCTCAAAAAACAGAAATGTTTGAATCTCCCGTTAAAACCTCTCCTCAAGCCCCACAATGCAGTTCCCTTCATTTTTTTGCCTTGTTTAAAAGTGCAAACCTTATCACGACTTGGAAAAACTGCAGACGCCATAAGACTCTTTCAGAGAAAACGTGTTTACCGGCTAGAAACTCTCTGGCTTCTGTGAAGTTTGAGGAAAATAAACTCAGCACTATGGGAGTCTTTTTTTTTTTTTTTTTTTTTTCTGACAAGGTTAAGCATGGTGAGAATTTTGGCTCCTTCAGCCGGATTACATCACGCACAGAATGTGGGAGCACATAAACCCAAACACTAAAGGATCAAAACATGCAAATAGAAACGGTGCCAAATAACCTGAAGTCTAAACAAGCCATCCTTCAACCACTGACATTAATGCACGTTGTCCTCAGCTTTCCTGGAATCTCAGAGCTGAAGTCCAGAAGCTCTTCTCTCCTAGTTGAAAATGTGCTTAACGCAATACTCAAATTATATACGACTTCTTCAGTCTTCTTTCTTTGGCAAACTTCAATTTTTTGAGATCAAACAAATTTTAATATCAGAAAGAAATAACTTGAGGAGTGGCAGTGACATGGCAGTGATGTTAAAGTGTGTGTTCTTATCTGAGATTAATATTGCTGTTATGACCGAAATAGTTCTCATGTTTACTACCTCACCACTTCGACGCCATAAAAAAAAAAAAAGACCACTTGGCTGGCATTACTTTTCTTCAGATGAACACCCCCCGGTTCGGTGCTGCATCATCACCATCACATGTCCATCCAAAACACATCCACAAACCGCAAACAAGATGGAAATAAATATGACTTGTTAATATTGGCCCTCCCTATTTTACTTATCAAACCGATACCAATGTGTTGAAAACTGATTAACTAGCCAATGCCAATTGTTCATTCCTAACTCTGGAGAAATGCAAAAAGTTTTTTCAGATTTTAGTAAGGGCAAAAAGGCTATTAAAACCAACTCCCTTTTAAGTTATGTATACATTTTTAGTCTAACTTCACCAGCCACACCTATACACAATTTTAATAAGTCATTGCCAGACCTAGATAATCAAAAATCAACTTAAAAAAAACAACAACAATACATGTCTGACAACATGAAGGAGGCTAAAATCAACACATTACGCCTCAATCTAAAGACACTCAAGAACAGAACATTTTGTCAGTCAAAAAAGAAAGAATACAAAGACATTTCTAAGGATGTTTTCACACCTGAGGTGTATTGGACGTTTGAAACCAACTGAGGTTGTTTTTCTCCTCAGTGTGATGCATTTGTGTAGGTGTGAATACATTGCGGTGTAGACTAAATCAACCGTACCAAGATCACTTCCTACAAACGGTAACTGTATGTTAAAACACTCCAAAGCTTCTGGAGACCATAACCTAAAAGAGCACAAAGCCTGTATTTGTCTTGGCCTAAAAACCAGCACAAAAAAAGACCAACATGTCAAACATGGTGGTTGTCTTCAGAAAATTAATGACGTGGTGGAGCTATGAATTCTCCTCTGGACCAAAAAATCCTAAAGGAGAATCTCCACTTTTCACAGTGTGACCTTTCACTCATTCTCGCTTGGGTTACGCTGTAAGCCAATGATTCAAATCACATCAGCAAGTCCACCTCTGAAAGGTTCCCAAAAAACATCCTGGCGTGATTCCAGTCACAATCGAGATGCGAGTCTTGTTGGCAGTTAATGCAAATGCTTGGTGGCATTTAATGCCACCGAGTCTCACGACCAATTATTGAGATTTAAGCGGCACTGACATTTGATTGACGTTTTTCTGATTTAAAGATGTGTCAGTCTATTCAGATTGGCTTTAAAAAGATGTCAGAATGCAATAATTCATGTTAGAGTAAAAATAAACAGACCACAAGTCCATCATTTATATTCTGTCTTGGGGCAACTTTATATGTACACAGAGAAAGCTGTTGTCACCATTTTGAGTGTCAGCACCCACAAATGATGCAACGCGGCATCAGTGGTTTGTGCACAGCACTTGCAGGTTTAGCTGTCATCCTGACTTGTTTTATCAAATTGCAGCGCAGAGAGAGGGAGGGAGAGATGTAATGCAACTAAGTCCACTTTTGCCTGTCCTTTGTCTTGGAGACTAGGTGGCTTTTTTTTTTTTTTTGTCTGTAATCGAATGTACTTTTGTTGCATTGCTGGAGTTAAAATGCAGAGAAATTGCTAAAAAAAATATGTTTCTACAATGGGCACGTAGTGAAAATGCCTCCCTTTTTAAGTTACATTCTAATGGGAGGAAGTACATGTTAAAACCACAAACTTCCATGTGGTAACCTGAATGTATGTGACAAACCAACATAATGTCACAGACAACTGTGAAAAGCTCTCAAAATGCTAGGAAACGACACAAATACAGGCAAGGTGACCGACCTGAAATTCCAAGGGATACTTCTGGGATCGAGGGATAGGCAGAAAATAAACACTTGAACCAGAAAACTAAATCCTAAGCAGAACACAACCAGATTCAAGAATAACTTAAAGAGTGAAACAAATAAAGTAAGGTTTTCAGAGAGAAATAAAGACTATCGTTTAGAACCTGAAAATTACTGCTATTTTTTTTAAATACCCACAGTGTAATCTGGATATGGAATCAACTTCTAATTAATTTTAATAATTCAGCTGATCCAAGTGATTATTATCGACCAAACAACTCCATGAAGTCCGAGGAAGACAGCAATCTGAGAGGTGCAGAGATTTAAAGGAGGATTGGGTCATAAAACAATAACCCGACCTTTGTCCATTGTCTAAAACCTAGAGGGAAGGCGTTCAGCTAAACTGACTGCACAAGAGCAGCACTAATCAGAGAAGCAGTCACTGTAACTCTGGATGAGCTGCAGTAGGGTTTTAGCATCTTTGTATGGAAAAGTACATCCTATTTACAGTTTTCTGACAGCCATGCAGATCAGTGGTTCCGAATCCTGGTCCTCAGAGACCACTGTCCTGTATGTTGTAGATGTAGATGTCTCGAAAGACATGTAGAAGATCGTTGGGTCAGATTAGACCAAAAGAAACCATTTTGGTTTGTGAAGCAGATGTCTAACTCTTCACGTCACTCTGAACAAACCCTCACCAACCTCACTACAAGAGGTAGTAGCATTATTCTCAAAGACAGGGCAACATTCGAGATCTTTAAAAAGTTAACATTTTAATAGGGTGTGTTTACGACATAAAATCTAAATAGAATATCTTGAAGTTTGCAGTCCAGATGTGGCAAAATGCGAAAAAGTACAAAGGGTGTACAAAAAAACAGTTGTGCAAGGCACTGTAAAAAGAAAAATCAAATGTTATGAAAAGGATAAAAAGGTCAAAAATAACAAACCAAAGAGTCAAAAGAGAAACAATTCAACAGTGAAAGGAAAGCAGAGAAATGTTTCTTGAGCATAAATTGGGGTCTAAAGAGTTCATCAGACTGTAGAGTGACGTGTCCGCATTGAATCTCAACAATGGAGGGATTTGTTGCTGCAGAAAGAAAAGAAGAAGCCATCAGGATTACTGCCCTCTCTCTCAGGGACAGCACTACCTACAGAACAGTTGGATTTTTGTGTAACAGATGGCAAAACAGCTGCAGAGGCCATGTTCATATGAAGGTTACGCTTACATAAGAGACCTCTACTCACAACACACACCTTAAAAAAAAAATTAAAAAATTAAAAGCTGATGCTGTCGCATTGCCAAAAAAGCAGAAATTCTGATTTGCGCTACCTTCTGTCACTCAAAGGGGTCCATCATGTAAAACAGCAGGTTTCAGTTTGAGGCAGTTTAGTTTCAACATCTTAAATCATCATATTAAAGTCATGAAAAGGCTGCATGAGAAATAACCCCTCCTACATGACGTTTGATGACCTAAGAAATTAGCTCAACTTAGCTGATTTATATGCTCAGTTGTTTTTGTTTTTTCTTATATGTTGTCTAATACTAAAAGCTCCTTTTTTGACGCTAAGCCCACCTTACATAGTTTATTATTATTATTATTATTATTATTATTATTATTATTATTATTATTAAAACTGACAGCTATCCTTGTTAACAGAGTGGAGCAATATTTTTGCTCATTAACAGGGTTCAAATTGATAAAAACAAAATAAATAAAAAAATTAGTACATTTTCAAGCCGCTGTTGTGTTTGGATATTTATTTTCCTTTTTTTTTCCTAGTTATTTTTCCTATAGAGATGAGATGGATTTATGTTTTTTTGTTTGTTTTTTTTTTTGCTCAGTTGTTCATGTGTTAATGTTCAATATGACCACCATAAGACTCTAGTGTGAAAACTGCTTTAGTGTCCATAAATTAGGGTGACCAACCATATTTTTCCCCGGACATGTCTGCTTGTCACTTTCTGTCCAGGGCATCCAGGGGCTTTCTTTGATTGATGAAAATGTCTAGGGTTTCATCGTTTTTCAGGGGACCAATGGGTATACTTATATCGCCCGGTGCGATGCATGGGATGAGGCAGCCTTCCTTTCATGTGACATTCTTCTCCGTCTTGAGCTGCTGCCAAGTGGGTGGTTTTGATCCGCTCATAGACAGAACAGACAACACAAGCTGTGTGGCAGCACTTCTGCTGATGTTTGCAAAATGCAAGAGTAGCTTTAAGGGGGAAAATACATTTCCTTCACACCATCCTGGTCACAACAAATGGGTAGCAGAGTGCACAAACCTGGCAGAGGAGAATGAAGACAAAGACTAAAGACTGAAATATTGAATGTAATTTAAGATTTTTGTATTTTTTTTGTCTAATTTGACTTAAATAAAATGTCTTCATCTTTTTACAGAATAATTCTCTAAGTTACAGAAGAGTGATTATAGGGGAGGCACAAATCTGACACTTTTTGCCAATATCACCACTGGCGTTATGCCAGTTTTTAACCGCTATTTAGCATTTGTTATATATATTTCCCTATGTTTCCCTTTGACAGTGTGTAAAAGTGACCACACTGTTTTCATTGCTTCTCTGTTACTGTTAAAACATCCCATAATCCTGCGCTGCATCACTATCACAGGCACATAACAGAACAAATACATGGACAGGTCCCTTATCACACCCCCTTCCAAACACACACAAATGGCAACAAAATGGAAATAGCAAATATTGGTTGCTCATGTCGTGGTGGCTTATCTGACGGCAGCCAGTATGCTAGAACATGACCAGCACCAGCTGACGGTGACGTTAATACCAATATATTGCGCACTTGTATCTTAAAATCATTCTAAAGAAAATAATGAGGTTGATGGCATTCAGATTACAAAGTAAGCTAAAAGAACACCACAACACCAAATATAAAAGTTATTTTTACTAAGTTAAAGTAACCGGTAACCCAGGGATGGACACCATGTTTCATTTATCTCTCATTCAGCCTCGGTCGGTGGAGATTAACTCTGGAGATTGACTTTGACAGTCTGATTCTTTTTCCTTTGACTTCTCACTTGCTTTGACAGTCACGGACAAGAAAAAGCCTGTCAGCTCCATGTATAAATAATGTTGTTCTCTTGAAATACCGACTTTTTGTCTTTCTGCAATCCCAAATGTTCCACTATCATTGCCTGGGAGTTGCAGCTGATTTTTTTTTTTTTTTTTTTTTTCCAAATGGTTGGCAGTTTTTCTCTAGGCAGATTTTCAGAAGAGACTATCAGAGCATGTGTGTTTTATTTTTCCAGAAAATTTTAATTTCGCTGAATAATTAGTACTCTGGGTTGACAGATGTCTCTTGATGAACTCCTTGAACTCAGCGAGTCTATCATGGCATCTTAAGTGTGCTGTCTAAGAACTGACAAAACACTTGGATGTCAGCTTATGACTTAATTTCGGTTTTGAAAGATGGATCCTCAGCTCATCCATAATAAGCAAGACAGTTTCTTTCTCACTCATTTCTCACTCATTTCTCATATTTTTGTTTTTCTTTACTTTGGTGTCTTATTCTCTTTAAATTTGGATCTGTCCCTACTTGAAAACGAAGCCTAAATAATTCGATTTTTTTCCATTTGAAGCTTAATAGAGTTTGGTCTCAAAGCCAACTTAGTTTGTCCCTCAATTGAGGGATCAACCAAAACCTTCAAACAATTTCTCAATCAAGCCAAACGTTTGGTTGTTGCTAGGTTACTTCATAAAGATTTATCTTCACTAACCAATTTAGATGTGTCTAATGCTGGAGGGCTTTCCTGCAACTTTTAAATGCATCTCTTCTCCAACATGGACTGAATGGCTTCAGTGCCATTGCCAAACCACAACCAACGACAGACTGAGATTCTAAAACAGTGCAGAAAATCGACATCATTCTCAACTCCTTCTGTTCCCTGATTGGGCTGGTTGAAATTTTGCCAAAGAAATCAAACTCAATGGGAAAAATCCTAGACGGAGCACTGAAGGAGTATGAAAATCAAAGAGATGCAGCTGGAAGGAGTTTCCCCTTACTTTATTTTTTATTTTATTTTTTTGTCTTTCAAACACAGCCAGAGATATTTCAAGAGCAGTAGCAAAACAAAGGTTGTTGTTGTCCATCCCTAAAACACTCCCTTTAGCAAATAAAAATTAACACACGGTCAGTATGTCAACTACAAAGTAAGAAATGGCAAATAATTAAAACTTGATATAAATAGATAATAAACTTTTTTATGTGCAACACTGTGATAACTTGTTCACCAATAGACGTTGCTCAATTTGAAGTGTGTAACTGATTAAATGGCATAAAAACTATCAGAGGATAAACAGTTTATTGCTGTAGCTGCTTTATGTACAAGGTCTCCAGCCAAGTTGCATTTTTATTTCCAATTTTAAATCAGCAGGTGGGCCTACTAAACAGCATTCTCCTATTTCTGTCTTCTTCAAGAAATATGGACTTCATTGTGGTCGTTTTAAATCAAATCTTATGTAGTTTCACCACAAAGTAAACAACTATTGATATTATATTATTGATATTCATTAATGTTTATTTAGGAACTGACAGTCACACCTGAAACACAGAAACATGTGATACATAAATCTGGCTTTTAGGTTAATATGTGCTCACAGGCACAATCTGAACGGATGATAATCAGGCATGTGTCTGCTTTGTTGCTCCTGGCAGGAAATTAGATCCATAAATTCATGTTCACTTTCTGGAAATGCACATAAATATATTGATCTCCATCAGCTACTGTTTCTTCAAGTGACGGCAAGTAAAATGTATGTGACAAGGACATGGGGGAAAAAAAAAAAAGTCAGAATAGAAATGCTCAAGTTTTCTTTAACAAAGTTATATTTTAGTTTTTGACATTTTAGTATTAGTTTATCAATCACAAGACTTGCACACATTTTTACTTTTCAGTCATTTGTGAATTCCTTTATTTTTTTATTATTATTATTGAAATGTATTTCTGCATAGGTATATAAATAAATATGCATGGATGGATGTGGAGACAAATAAATGAATTGTTTGTCAGATGGATTGAAGAATGGTTAAAGGACTGATAATGGCCAGATTGTAGGATGGTGGATGCAATGACAAATGGATACATGACGGACAGATGAATGTATGAACAGATAGACCGATTATTATCTAATGGGTGGACACTATTTTTACTGAGGAAATAAATCCGACATAAATCCTGACAACAAAGATCTCACTTTCATGTTCTATTTCAATAAAACATAGTACATCATTTGCCTTTCCATACTGTGCACAAAACTGTAAATAAGGAGTTCACCATTAACAAAGATGAAATGTAATATTTCTATAAATGTTCAAAAACCGTTTAAATGAATCCAGCCATTTAAATAAAATAGCATGAAGCTGTGTAGCTTCGTGGTATTTCAGCAGCAGTTGTGTTTCGCTATAATTCAGAGCAGGCAGCAGGTAAATAGTTAAAGGCCTTAAATACTGCCCATGGCTCTCACCTCCTTACAGCTGAACCTTTTGCATCTCTGAAAGGTCAGTTTATCTTTGCATTTACCAACTTTCCATTGCTTGGCATCCAAAACAGAGCACGTTCCACAGGGTATATTTATTTTCTGATTTCATTATCATTAATATTACTACCGAGATTCAGCCGGCTCTACTTTTAGGTCTGCAGTTTCTACTGTTTTTCAAAATGGTTTCTTGCTTCACTTGTCCCCGTTCAGAGGGAAAAGGGAGATGTGAACTGGAATAAAGAAGCTATTTCAGGGGCTTTTTAGTCTGTGCTTCTAGATGCCATCCATTAAAACAGGTCCGTGAGAGAAACTGTCCGTCACTGCTGACAGTTCTCGCTGTGAAGCCTTGTGGGGATTAGCTTCAGAGTGCTGAGAAGATCAGAACCGTATGCATCAAGTCTGCAAAAATATGGATGAAATGAAACCATTCTACAGAGAATTTCATATAGTTTCAGCAGAGCTCTTAGAATTTTTATATGATGATTCAGTAACGTGTGGCAGCTTGGAGAGAAAAGGTCAGCTTATGATCTAGTATAGCCTCACGGTAAACAACCTAAGTGTTTTTAAAGAAGCCAACTGGACTTGTTCAGCTCTGACCAACAGCTGGAAATATTTTGACTTTCACGCTTTTAAGAGCCATATGTAGTTTATTGTTACCCACCCTATGACTGTGGCGTTTACCTAGTGTTTGCAAAAACTTGTCGGAGATTACCGATGTGAATTAAAAATTGGCCTTCAAATAAAACTTAAAATCGTCAATTGTGGCACAGGGGTGGAATCGAGATTTTAAAATCCAGGGAGTTGTTAAAGAAGGCTAAGAGGAGGGCAGTGATGATGTTGGGGTGTCACACAAAAATAAAATACCCAGGCAGTGCTGTAATAAATGTGATTGATTCAAAACATAAAGGTCAAATATTGAGATAAATATGTAATGCACAAATAAGTCTGACTAATAGAAGGTATTTATCTTTTTTTAAAATATAGATTAAATAGATGCAATTCTTCAGCACATGAGTACATTGTCCTGTATGTTTAAAAAATGTCTGACCTCTCATGGCAGTTTGGCAGACTTGAATCAAAACTTTTTTTTTGAAAAGCGCTTTTACCTACTCAACCTGGTCCCGGGTCTTTTTTAGCTGCATTCAAAAACATGGTTAGCTTGGGAGGATTGTTGGGAACCTAGGGCAACAGCTTTGGATTCACTTCTTTAAATTTAAATTTCGCGAGCCTACCTTATGAATATGTATGGAAAAGTATCCTTCTACTGTAATTTGCTAATTGTAAGTATGCCATTGAAAAGCTTTGCATATTTCAGATTTTATTCCTTATTCAAGGTTCTGAAATATAAAAGTAAAAAAAATATATTAAGAAAGCTGAACAATTTTTTTTAAATAAAATCGGTGGACAAAGAGTTTTAATTGCACTTATGACTTGTCCTGCATAGTGAAGACAAGCAAATAACAAAAACAATATAATTTGTGGAAAATATACATTACAGACTTTACACAAGAATGTTAAAAATAATAAAACAATTTGTATTGCATGTTACATATCACAAATGATCTGCAGTTGAAATTGCAGTAAAAGAATATCTACCATGTTGACTAAGTACAACTGAATACAAAAGGATGCCACATTTTACAAATTTCCATAACTTTACAATTGTGTTACTTTGTGTCAGATACAGTCCCAATAACGTATATTGAAGTCTGTGATTGCAATGTGACAAAATGTGAAAAAGTTCAAGGGGTATGAATACTTTAACCTAAAAAAAAAACAGTGGGGATACAGATGCCAATTTACAAAAGTTTTCTAGAGCTTTTGTCTCACAACAGTGCTTTTATGCTAATACCTCTACATCAGGGGTGGCCAAGTCCAGTCCTCGAGAGCCACCATCCTGCAAGTTTCAGATGCATCCCTGCTTCAACACACCTGAATCAAATGACTGGCTCATTATCAGGCCTCTGTAGAGCTGATCCCGGTCTGTTGGAGTAAGGATACTTCTAAAACTTGCAGGATGGTGGCTCTCGAGGATTGGACTTGGCCACCCCTGCTCTACATTTACATCTGTAAATAAAAAGGGAATATATTCTATAAGTGGGAGATACGGCAAATGACAGAGAAAAGAAATCACTCAATTTATCACCAACACAGATCCATAATTATAGACCTGACTAAAAGCTACATCAGAACCTTTGTTTTAAGCATTAAGCCGAGTTACACAGGGAATGTCTAGATTTTTTTGTACTCATCTTTGCAGCTTAGTTCCATGGCCTGAACTTCTTGAACACTCACCTGATGGTAATCTCAAAAACAGTTCACACATGAGTGTGTCTTGTAAATTAAACCAAAAAAAAAAAAAAAAAAACACCCCTGTGAAGCAACCAGTATCGGCTTCACTGATACACATTAGCACAAAAAAAATGCTGATTGTGCCCATGATTCCAGAGAAAAAACACCCAAAGAGGAGTATTTCATTTGTAGAAATTACTTGGGTAAAAACAAAGATGGATTTTTAAATTTTGAGCATATTAGAAATTAATGAAACAAACATCTTGGGGAATTAAAAGTTCACCAGATGAAGCCAAGGGTGACCATTCATTCGGAGGACTCAGCCAGGTGTGAGGGTTGATAATATGTTCATGGAAGCGTGCCGATTCCATCAAACACCTGCGCCTTCTCCAATCTTTTTTCTAGCCAGAATTATTTTTTATTATTGCAAATGCTGTGGAAAAACGGTGAGGACTGAAAGTGAGTCAAACAAAAGGATAAAGGAAGAGACAAAGATAGGTAAACCGATTATGTAATGAGCAAAGAAACTCTTGATGACATCAGTGTGTAAAATTCCTTAAGAAACTCGACCCTTTGACCTTTAATCTGAATGATCCAACTACTACAAGTGATTTTGTGCACGTGAAAATGCCAAAACTTTGACAGTTTCCTATTTTCTTCTTTTCCAGGTTCCTTTAAATGAGGTAACATGGACAAAGTGGTCATCTGCCTCCTGATTCTGGGAGCCGCTATGACAATGGTCCATGCATGTCCCAAATACTGCGTCTGTCAGAACCTCTCGGAGTCTCTGGGGACCTTGTGCCCCTCTAAAGGTCTGCTTTTTGTTCCACCGGACATAGACCGGAGAACTGTAGAGCTTCGGTTGGGAGGCAATTTCATTCTCAAGGTCACCACTCAGGACTTTGCCAACATGACAGGTCTGGTGGATCTCACTTTGTCTCGCAACACCATCAGCAGCATCCAGCCTTTTTCCTTTATCGATCTAGAGACATTGAGGTCACTGCACCTTGACAGCAACCGGTTGACTGAACTGGGAGCGGATGACCTACGAGGACTGATCAATCTGCAGCACCTGATCCTCAACAACAATCAACTAAATCAAATCTCAGATTCAGCTTTCGATGATTTACTGCTGACTTTGGAGGATTTGGATTTGTCTTACAACAACCTGCGCAGTGTGCCTTGGGAGGCCATCCGTAAGATGGTCAACCTGCATCAGATAAGTCTGGACCATAACCTCATCGCCTTCATTGCTGAGGGGACTTTTACAGACCTTGAAAAACTGGCTCGCCTGGATCTGACATCCAATCGCCTCCAGAAGCTTCCTCCGGACCCGATCTTTGCACGGTCCCAGAGCAGCATGGTGATGAGTACACCTTATGCACCTCCACTCTCTCTGAGCTTCGGTGGAAACCCACTGCACTGTAACTGTGAGGTACTGTGGCTGCGAAGGCTGGACCGTGAGGATGATATGGAAACATGTGCCTCTCCAGCCAGTCTAAAGGGGCGCTACTTTTGGTCTGTCCGTGAGGAGGAATTTGTCTGCGAGCCCCCGCTCATCACTCAACATACACACAAATTGCTGGTGCTGGAGGGCCAAACAGCTAGTTTGCGTTGCAAAGCAGTCGGCGATCCAATGCCAACTGTGCATTGGGTTGCTCCAGATGATCGTTTGATTGGCAACTCCTCAAGAGCCACTGTATATGAAAATGGCACCCTTGACATAGCAGTCACCACATCCAAGGACTATGGCATTTTCACTTGCATTGCTGCCAACGCCGCAGGGGAGTCTACTGCCTCCATCGAGCTATCAATCATTCAACTGCCCCACATCACTAACAGTACTAATCGTACTACACTGCCAAAATCAGGACTTTCAGACATCACCAGCTCTACTAAGATAGGCAAAGGGGAGCCAAAGCCTCCTCCAGAAAAGGTGGTTTCTGTATCTGAAGTGACTGCCATCTCTGCTTTGGTCAAGTGGACCGTAAGCAAATCAACTCCAAAGGTCAAAATGTTCCAGCTTCAGTACAACTGTTCTGATGATGAAGTTCTCATTTACAGGTAAGAGAAGCTGCAGTCAGTTATTTCCAAATTAAAGCTGAAATCTCACTGGCCATACTGCCCAATTGGGATTGAGATATAATCTCTTTACCTCAAAATGCCATAATAAGTTCAGGTTTTAGAGTTAATTGCTAATTGTCTGAGCTCTTGAGACAACTATTTCTTGTGAAGCATTACTCTGAGATCAACATTCATCATTCTTAATCCTTCTTTAGTTTTTTTTTTGTTGTTTTTTTGTTTGTTTGGTTTTTCACCATAAAGCAGACAATTTTGTGAGGATACAGCTTTCACATTCTGAGAAACCCAAAGAGAAATCCTTGCCCTGAACCATTAATTAGAAACCCAAGAAGAAAAAGGATTATAGAGCTCATTCTAATGTATCCCTCTTAAGCTGCTGAACTCCATACAAGTGTGGGCCTTGGTGACAGTAGCAGAAGATCTTTGGGGGCTCTGTGAAATCAATTTTCTGTTTTAGATGAGATGCTGAATGGAAAAAAAAAAATTCTGATGGATAATTGTCTGGAAATATAGAAAATAGCCTCAGTGTTCAGCTAAAAAATGGTGTGGTACATACAGAGAAGAAAAATAGCTTTTTCCAGATTCAGTATCCCCTAAAGTAACATTTATAGATCTTTCCAGAGAATGCCCACATAGTAAGGTACAAGCCATTGTGAAAATTAGATACCTTTCTAAGCTTCAGCGGTTTTATGTGACACCTTCCAAGCTCCAATAATTGACATCAAATTTCTGCAAAACCTTATCAGATAATTTATTTTCTATTACCTGCATAGGACTGGTGTTTAGCTGGGAATCTGAGATTATAGCCAAACGCAGCAGTGAAGGATGTTACTTTTCACAAGCGGAGTTGATGCATCTCACATCTGTGCAAATTCAATAATAAGCTTTTTATCTGATTTCCTTCCCTTTCATGCACATTCTGTACCAGCTTTCCTCTTTTTCTGCCTGGTGACAATAGTGGATGAGTCATCTACATTTGCATTCATGAGGAACTCGACAAAGCTAAAGCAGTTCCCTGCATTTTCTTTCTTCTTTTAAATTACATTAAATTGCTTCTCTTCGATTACTAGCAGTAACTGCAAAACAAATTGGGTTGCTGTGTATTTAAAAGCTCCATAATTAATTTGTTGACCAAAAAAAATCTATTGTATTCATTATGTTTATAGGGTTATAGCATTCCCAGAAAGGACTGTTTTCATTAGATCAAAATGAATGCAGCGATGTGCAGCTACAATAGCTCAAAAGGGTCAAACAGTTCATTACTTATGTTTGATGTTGAAGCCCATGTTTACGTTCACCTGGTGGCACCTGAAAGCGATCAAGCATCAACTAAAAGATGCTTGATCGCTTTCAATATGTTTGGAGAAAACCAACTACAGCACATCAGCAAAAAATGATTAATACAACAATCAGGTAGAGCTGGAGAGGTGTAGTAGTTTGGATTTGTTCTGCAGCCACGCAACCTGGGAACCTGGAAGTCATCAAGTCATAAACTCTACTTTATATTAAACTTCTTCTCTGACATCTGAAGTTTGGATTAAACACTGTCTTCAACAGGACAATGATCTTAAGCATAGTATTGTATTTACAGCACAACTGCTGAAAAAACTAATCATTTTGTTGCAATGGCATAATCAAATTTCAGGCTCCCTTGATTGAAAGCCATAATGGAACCTTAAGAGAGCTGTGCAGAACCCAATGTTAGCCATAATGTTTAAAGCAACGCTTCAACAAGTATTTTGAAATTCATCAACAACAATAAAAGAGACTGATGAGGGTAAATGAAAAATTATTAGTGACAGTGTTTACTGTTTAACTCTTAATTTTCACCATGTTGTACCTACAATTACATATTTATGCCCCAGGATGAGCAGGAACAAAAATAAAGCTTCCTATGAAAACCAGTTTCTAAAATGATATGAAATAAAGTAATATAAGTTTATTGCTTGCAAATGTTCACCTTTGTCTGAGTTTTCCACCTAAGAATTCAGATAAATAAAAAAATCAATCATGGCCATGAGGGGCAGCAGAGCAAATGTACGTGTTCACTTGCAGGTTGCATAACAAGACAGTTATGTTGAACAGCAAACATTCCCATTGGTGCCTTCAGAGTTCAAACAAGTTGATGGGTGTACCATCCAAAGCACATCATGCCATCAAGCAGATGAAAGAAAGAGACATTTCTAGCATCAACAAGAATAGTTATTTATAATTCCCACTTAAATGAATCCAGCAAAATTGCTTGTTTGCTCAGAATAAATCCATTTGGTATCTTATAATTATTGATGCCCATTTAATAAAACATCCTAAAACATTTGGTCTAATCTAGTTGACCATTTGTCTCCTTCAAATCAAATGTTACACAGTGGAAGAAAAGTAGTAATCTCTTTAAATTACTTTCTGCATGTAAAATGCTACATGACATGCTTGTTCTTTGGTATTTATTTTATATTCTTTGTCTAAATCAAACATGCTATAAGCATATTTATTCTTATCAGTTTTGATCCCTTGCGAAAAGACTTTTGTCATGCTTTATCTTCCCATTTGTGCTTCCAGGATGATTCCCAGGACTCACCGGGCCTTCGTAGTCACCAATCTGGTGCCGGGAATGCAGTATGACCTGTGTGTCCTGGCCATCTGGGATGACACCGCAACCACTCTCACTGCCACCAACATTGTTGGATGCATCCAGTTTGTCACCACGGAAGATTACCCACAGTGCCAGTCTCTGCACAGTGGATTTATGGGTGGCACCATGATTCTGGTCATTGGTGGCATTATTGTTGCGACTCTGCTGGTCTTTATCATCATCCTTATGGTGCGCTATAAGGTAACCAGTGGGATTCAAACCAATAAATTACCCACTGTAAGTAACACATACTCCCAGACAAATGGGGGGGTGAACAGGTTCAATGGAGCCCCACCACAGGTCAAGTCCACAGTAGTGGTCATGCGTGAAGAAATGGTGGAGTTTAAGTGTGGATCCCTCCAGAGTAGCCTTTCTTCATCATCATCGTCCTCTAACTCGTTGGACAGCCAAACAGGAAGAGGAGCAGGCTATAATGCGCAGAGCAGCGAATGCAGCAACCTGCCAAGTACCAAGTTTAGGAGGCATGTGCACGGCACTAAGGCTCGGCAAAACCTGGACCAACTTTTAGGGGCCTTTACATCACTAGAGCTACGGGGTGCAGCAAAGGACCACCAAGGAACTTCTGTCTCCTCGTCCTCTGCTGTTGCCAATCCCATGACAACAGTGGCTGTGGCACCACCATCTGACAAAGAACCCCTGCTTGGGAGGGCTGAGTCCACAACAATGCTGGGGCGCCTCCTTGGGTTTCAACATGAGGATAAACCAAAGAGGAGTCACTCATTCGACATGGGGCATGTCGGGGCAGTACAGTGTCGCAGCAGTCAGCCACGTAGGATCAGCAACATCTGGACTAAACGCAGCCTGTCTGTTAACGGCATGCTTCTGCAGTACGACGACAGCGAGGATGAGAAACCCACTTTTGAGAGCTCTGAGTGGGTTATGGAGAGCACAGTCTGAGTCTATGACCAAACAATAGATCTATATTAAAAACTAAAGAGACATGAACACAGCGGGATGTTCTGTATGAACTTCAACCATGTGAATACTGTTTAAATGATTATGTGACAAAAATAAAGCTGACTGTCCAAGATTGAAACTCTTGACTATATTTGAAAAATGTTCCATTCTGAATCCACTGGAGAAATTACCTACATGGAAAAACTATCTACAGAACGATAAGATACTCATACTGGATTTACGTCTTTAAAGGAACTGAACTCTATGAGGACTTACTTCAACTGTGATAACCTATATCACACGTTTCAGACTCAAAGTGGAAATGTTCCAGCTGTAGAAAGAGGGGGACCACAGGAGCTAGTATAGTAGAAAATTAAAACAAAGTCATTTTTATTTTCATGTTCTGTTTTTTATCATTTTTACTATTTATTATTTCAGGTGATTCACCAGAAGAAAGACTCACCTCAAAACATTAAAAACAGGTTTACACAGGATGTACCAACTCTCATGTTGCCATTTTATACCCCTATTTATCATCATCATCATCATCATCATCATTTTCTCAGGTTATGCATGAGGTGACCGTATGAGAAACAAAACAAATGCTAACTTAAAACGCAGGCTGTGCTTGTACTCAAGTTTGTAAAAGTGTTTTTTTTTGTTTGTTTTTTTTGAGCAATCAGTATCTTAAACGCAGCACACAGCAGGCAGTGATCTCATTTTGAGAAATCAGAGGAACTCAAATTGGAAAATTGAGCTAACAGCTAATCAGAACAGGAACCACTCAAAACCAAAAGTATGGAGTCTAAAACAATTCAGTCAAATCAATATGAAATTGTCATGTGGACACCGTTTGGTTTTCTTAACCAAATTGTGTCTATATAAGTGTGTATGCCCTATAGATGGTGGGTAGAATAGCCAAGCTGTGAATCACTGCTTCTCTGTATTGATGGGTCCCAGTGGAAGTAGCTTTGGTAGCTTTTTGGATATGTCCCAAGACGGAAAAAGCCCCTTGCCAGGATTTGCTGTAAATGCTAAATCTTACAGCCATCTTGAGGATTCCAAACAACCTTGGGGCTCTTGTTTACAAGTCAGGTTATAACTGAGGAATAGATTTACTTTGTGGATGAGATCAGCATCTGCTGAATGTGATGTGGACACTGCATCAGTGAATAGTGATGAAGAGAGAACTGAGCTAAAGGACAAAGCTTTCAATTTGCACGCCAGTATATGTTCCATCATTCGGTTAAGGTCATTAGTTGTGGGTAATAAGCCATCTGTAAGTGCAATTGGATGGAATTAGCTTCCTTAGGAGGGCTGGATTCTCATAAAGAAAGGGTGAAGGATTGCTCTATAGAAGGTGCTCATATTAGAGTCCCAGTTTCTCAATATTGACAAGAGCCAACAAAGGTAATTTGGGTATTGGTATTGCCATCTGGGCCAAACTGGAAGAGCCCCTTCCACAGATCTGCTGGAGAGATTACATTTTACAACTCTCTCTTGAACCCCTCAGAGAAATCATCAAATGAGCTGAAGGAAGTAGCTGAGGGGGACTTAGGTCTGGAGAGTTCAGTTTTATAAGCTACTGCTTCAAGTAAAGTAGTTTAACTACCCTGGTTGTTAAGATGTAGGGGTAAAACAGAGGAAAAGATCTGATTGTTGGACTGGAGGGACATCTACAATACAAACACTGAACCAGCCTGCATTGGCGACAAAAGAAACGAGGCAAGACTTCTCAACCTACCCATCAGAGGACATGAAGTCCCTTGGCTAGACTCATGAGTCTAGCCAAGGGACTTGGCTTCACACTTTATTCACAATAAAGTGTGAATTAAAGTAGCTAAAAACTCCTATATAGAAAATGGGGGAAAGATCCACTTTTGGAAGGCAGTCAGAGATGGGGCTGCTTTGCATTGGCAGGGAGTCAACTGAAGAGGTTTTGGTAAATGAACCTTGTTGATCTTCTGATCAAAAGAGGCTGGATAGATAATATCCCATTTTATTTGGGAATGAATTAGTGTCCCCCAGTTGAGGTGAGGGAAGGGCCTTCTGGCAGAATTCGTTTTCTTTTGCATCCTTGCTGGTGAGTGGAGAGAAAATGTGTGATGAGTAAGAGCATTTTATGTATAAAAGTGACTCAACAGAGTGCTTAAATTGCAATTAAAGTTTTAAATTTAAGTTCAAGCTTCAGAGTGTGAAATTAGCTCTGAAAGGAGCTGTTAGCTTGATTTCACAATAATGTATTTCCCCCCCAATTCTCAATATTCAGATCACTCCAGCTTCAGGAAAGATACTGACAGCAAATACTTATCCTATCTGCCCACCCCCACCCCACCCTCCCACCTAGTTGGTCTCCAAGGAGACAATTATAACGTTTGTCCAGCTCAGGTTGAAATCCTGCTTTGCAAGTAATTTGATTATCTGGTGCTGCTTTGCAGGAGTCCCTGCAGACCAACGGCTCATTGACGTGAACGTCGTTTCCCTAAGAGTGTGGTTTCAGCTACTATCGGCACAAATTACTGTAGCCAAATGCAAACAGTGTTTGAAATTCATCAAGCCCTTTTAATCATTTGCCCAAAGCAGCCAACAGCATGATGTATCACTGCATTCTGAAACTCTTCAGGCAACAGAAACAAAGAAAGCATGATAATTACTCATTTAGCCAGGTTAAATGGAGGAATTTGTCATTTATTGGCTGCATAAAGGTCACTCTGCTGCTCATGAGAGGATTTTATTTGGAAAAAATGGGAAGAGTGATGACTTTTAGGGAGCCAATAAGTTGCAAAGCCTGGGAATTTATTTCACCACATTGCATGATACAAAACCTATTTTGATTAATGTGTTTACTTGACTTGATTCACCTGAGGAAAAATTCATCTGTTCTTCTCCTTCATACAGGGCTGTACATTGCAGTAAGATACTTAAAAATTTGTTACTTTTCAGATCACTGCCTAAAGTTAGCTGCATCATCCCTGTGTTTTAATGCCTTTATCAGTATTCTGTGGGACTGTGCTGCATTTCAAAAATGTTGGGTGATCATCATTTCCTTTTCCTCCTACAGTAGATGTACTGTTCTGTATATTGGTATATTTTTTTTGTACAATACCTGGGTGAGAATGTAAGGGGGTCGGGTGGGGATTGTGCAGTAGTAATTTTATTTTCATGTGAAGCAAACAGTGAGAAGGTGCTTTACTGTGGTGTACCAATAAAAGGTGGTTGTTAGTTGGCTTACTGAATGGGATTTTACATGATGTTTCAAGAGCGGAGGACTGGAAATTCTTAAGTGGTTGAATCAACATAAAGTGCATGTTTGCTCTTAATGTGTTACCTTTATGCTGTCAGTTTTGTGGTTGTTTCCCCACCACATTTATAAAGTCATATGATTGTTTTATTTATTTTTTTCCCCCTAGCTAAGCTTGACTTCCAATTTGTCAAAATTATATTTCTGTAAAACTTTTTTTCTGACAGCTCACATAAAAAAATTGTGCATATCATTATTTTGAGATTTTTTCTAAATAATAAATAACTATAATATAGATAGTAAAAAAAAAAACATTGTACACAAGTTATGAATCACTAGAAGTGACTGAGTATATCAGTACTTAAAAATTCCTTCTTTAGAATAACAAAACAATCTTAAAGACCAGATCATTTAAAAAAGCGAAATCTCTAGACGGAACCAGACTAAATGAAAACTGTGTGATGGTAAGATGAGAATGGTGCTCTGGTACTTAGCGACCAGTGGGAAGCAACCGTTGAGCCTCTGCGTGCAACATCATGTATCATCCCTCTCCATTCTGCTAACCAACACTATAACGTAAATGTGTACTTGACTCGACATAAGACATGATTCTCACCTGAACTTCTAAGCAGAAAAACATCTATTAAAAAAATACTCTTTGTGTGAAAACATTTTGCTACAAAATGATATAAAATATTGATAAATTCCTATGGACCAAACTGGCTCCACTTTGTTTTCTTTTTTCTTGAGAAGTCAACTGTTGCACATGTTAGCAGCTGCGACGCTTGAGTCAGATCAATGCTAATTGTTTCTTTCTGCGTCTCCCCACGAAGCGCTGAAACACTGAGTGTCCTTCCTGTCATCCTGCAGGTGAGCAGAGGGGGTTTTTCCTCCAGAGGTCCAGCTGCTGTAATCAGGCCAGTCGCTGCTGACTCACCTCAACACTGTCCTTATTACAAATCACCTGTACATGCAGCTCCTGGGCAGAGCCCATAATAAGGCCTTAATTCATATAATCTGTTAGCGAAGGTGCTTACGGCAGCACAGAGTAACTATAATCTCTACAAGGGGAAGGCGTTGCATGACGAAGGTGCAGGATGAACACGACCGCTGGATGTCAAACGCAGCACGAGCGCTTATTAATAGACCTTCAGTTGTCAAATACTGGATTTGAAAATACAAATTAAAAAAGTTTTACAATGACAAGTAAAGGCATTGAGAATATCCCTTCATGAAAATTAATGTGAAGCAAACTGAAATATAAAACTTTTAACAATCTGACAATTTCTTCCAGCGTTCAATTCACGTTTTGCCTCCCTGTGTCTCTTTCAAACTGTTTATTAAATCTGCTACAAGTTATCATCTACAATTAACTCATTCTTGAAAATTAAAGCTGAACAACAGTTCACGCTGCAGGTCGCCTGGATGCAGCTGTTAATTCAACAGGAAACAGGTTCTTGTTCTTTTAACACACTGGATTAAATTGAGTCCTTGTTTCTGTTGTAGATCTCAGCTTGCATGCAGGGGAAAGTAATTTACATTTAACGCATTCCCCCCACCCCCCTGCACCAGACGGCTCTTTTGGATTAGACACAACACTAAACATGCAATTTGAAGCCTATCCTGTCTTTTTTTACTCCTCCTTTTTATATCTATTTGAACTCTACAGTCTGAAAGTAATGAGTGAATCTTTTCCACTTTAAACTGCATACGTTTTGAAATGATGATTATGTCAAGAGAATATCGCACCCAGCTTACATGCTTACAGGACAGCACAGCATTTTATCTTGTTCCAGAATTTCATTAAATTTCTTGCATTTCAATATGTTTCCACTTATTGAGTTTCTCAGAGTTAAAGATTATTTTATCAAGACCTTTTGTGGTTTTTACTATTGCAGGTTGAGTCTTGCCATATGCTTTTCCTTTTTGAAGTCTGGATCTCTTAAATTGGGTCTTCAATAAAGAAAAAAAACATGTAAAGTGATTAAAAAAGCATAAGAAATATATTTTTAGAAACAGATTATGGTTAAAAAAAAAAAAAGAAAGGCTACTTTGAACCCTTTACATATTGATCACTGGCCCAAATCAATGTATCTTCAATTTCAACTTATACTCCTGATACTTAATATGAACGTATTTAGATGCATAAAAATTCACAGTGAAAGAAAAACCCAAGATCCCAGGAGAAATCTGCTGCAACAGGAAACGGATGATTTTCTCCTTGATTGGCCATCGACTGATGAACACACCGTACCCAAGCTCTGATTGCTTTAACTGCAACATTATACGGCGCGTTACTGAGTGAAACGCCACCCAAAGTTAGCCACTTTCAGTATCTGTGAGGTGTTTAAAGAGAAGCCAGATGAAACTATTTTATTTCATGACATGTCGACTCATGTCTGTAGATTTGAGTTATTTTGGGATGAGAATACTCCAATCTACAGGGCTTCTGATGTGAACCTGACTCACCGTCATCAGCAGAGAAGAAAAAAAAAATGCTATTTTATATTCCATCCATCCATCCATTTTCTTTACACCCTTGTCCCTCAGTGGGGTCGGGAGGGGTGCTGGTGCCTATCTCCAGCTAACGTTACGGGTGAGAGGCGGGGTCACCCTGGACAGGTCGCCAGTCTGTCGCAGGGCAAACAACAATGCACACACACACTCACACACTAGGGGCAATTTGGAGAGGCCAATTAACCTGACAGTCATGTTTTCGGACTGTGGGAGGAAACCGGAGAAAACCCACGCATGCACAGGGAGAACATGCAAACTGCTATTTTATATTCATTGAAATCAACTTTTCATCGGCACATGTTTAATCATTACATAATATGAGCAGCGTGGTTGTGTTTTTGTTTTTTTAACGGCGGTGCCTACTGGGAGCACTCTCACTAATAATTTTCTCCTCTTTCATCTCTGACCTTCAGTTACTTTTTCTCTTTCAAAAATCTATTACTACTGTTTTATTTTTCAGGGCAGTCACCCCTTTTAGATTATCTGAAGTATTTCTTTTTTTTTTCCCTCCCCACATGTTACTTTTTTTTTCTTTTCTTTAAAGCAGCTTTTGCACACCAGTAGCCTGCAGAGAATCTATTCATGATCTTTTACGCCTGAACACGACCCACCGCGGTTTAGCCAGAGTTTGTACAAAAGCTCAGCAGATTGCATTGGAGGTCATGACAAAAAGTTTGAAGAGGGTGTTGGAGCGCGGGGGTCTCATATTCCCATTAATAGTGGGTTTCCATTACAGAAAATGCTCTCTGAAAGCAGCCCTTATCTATCATCTGCAGCCTCGTCGCCACTTTCACAGGGATTCTTTATTTCCAGAACGCTGCATTAATAACCACCATATTAATAACACAGAAGAGATGCTAAGAGCAGGGGTTGTTTCTCTAGCAAGAAAGTTGTCGAGCCACAGTTAAGTTTGAAATGTGAGCCTGGCAGAGGTTATTTTGTCTTGCTTCAGAAATGGTGTCTTCTCGCTTTTCAAGTAACAAGCAATTAATGATACCTGCTGGATGGTGGTAACAATATTTGAGGTTGCGGTGGAAAAAAAAAAAAAAAATGCTTCCCCAGTCAATAGAAAATCCAATCACGTCCTCGTGTTATTACATTCACAGTTATTTCCTTTGGAAACAAATATGCAAATTAAAATTCTGATATATTTGCCAAATTAGGGAAGCAATCATTCTTTTGTTTTACAATTTTTTTGTTTATTGGCTTATTCAGGGTGGAGCCTATCTTGATTGTTGCTACAGTTTAGCACCTCCTCAAAGTCCAGACTCTGATCTGAAGCAGGAACCAATCCACACTCATCTTAAGAAAACCTCAGTAGAGGCCGAGCGCCACGCAGATTGTTGATGTAACAAAGCTTTTTACTGTTTACGTCATTACTAATGCTTTTCTTTAAGATTCTTCGGCTCTAGTGGTCTTTACTGAAAAGTAAATAAGCAGGGAATATGGTAGATAGAGAAGGAGAAGACATGCTGCAAGGGACCAGAAATGGGAATTAAACCAAGGACAACCACATGGAGCACTACGGCCTCTGCACACGGTACGTGCACTCTACCAACTATATGTGACTTTTATAAAAAAAAAAAAATTTTTTCACATATTTGTTCAAACTCACCGTATATGATTAGCACCACTAACAACACTGTTGTCAGATGTAAGAGTGGATTGCCAAGTCCAGATCTAAAAATAATCTCTTGCCTCGAAGAGTTATCTGAAACTGATGGGCTGATTGGAGCCTAATTGAGCCAGCCAGATTTCTTGGCTAACACGGCTTGATGGAATAAGGAGTTCAGCTCTATTAAATTCATGCCATGAATTAAAAAAAAAAAAGACAATTTTAATGCTTTGGACATCTGGTCTGTTCGCCTGAATTTGGGACAATTCCCATTTGGAGGAAGCCAAGATACAGACCCTGAATTTGGCAACACAGATGAGTTTTAGGGTGTTGTGAATGCTTTGTTTTTTTTTTTTTCTTTTTTTACCAGAAGTAGTTTGTGGAATATTTTCCCAGATTTGCATCTTTCAAACCCATCCATTAATTGAAGTTTGTGCCCATCCAAGAAGAATCCTTACAAGGATTGTAAGGCTGACATGTGTGCCACAAGACACTTTATGCCAAAACATTTCTGACAGATCTGCAAAAACAATAATGCTGTTTGAAACTTTGCGTGAGGAAAGTGGATTCGCACAGAAAAACCTAAAAGCCACCATGTAATTATATTGGGCATAAAATTCTCTTTATTTTGTCTGTTAGTGAAAAAGTTTGGTCTTAGTTGGACATTTTATTCAAATATTAAATTACCAAACTCAGCTCTGGCAGATTAGCGGAAAGAAAAAGAAAAATACGTTTAACACCGTCACACAGCTAACTCAAAAAATTTTTGTGGTAAAAAACATTTTTGGGGTGAATTACTCTGAAAAGCTTTAAATTAGTAGAAAAATTTTTGCAGAATAAAAGAAAGAAAGAAGGTCAATCTAAACCACAAATTTAAAGTGATTTCAGTTTTGTAACCTAAAACAATGAACATCTTTTATATGTAAACTCGTCTTCTGCGAAGTATCAGTCAAGTCATTTTAAAACTGCCAAGCACAAGTGCCTTATAATTTCTATTAGTATGTAAGTCAAGCATTATTCACTTGATTTGACAGCTCATCACACTGAAATGCCAGTGGCGAAGGGTTTTCTGTAATTCCACTGAGCTTTATTAAGCTTAAATTTCTGTCCTGGTGCCAGGACAGAAATTCAAGTTTTTATGTAACTAAGATTATTTTATCATCCTCAAACTTTTATTTCACGTTAAATTATTTAAAGGTTTGACCTCGTAGAGGTGTAAAAAGTGCACCGCTCTACAGCCGAGCTAACGCTAACTTCTTCTTGTTTGGCTTCAAAGTTTCCAGCCACAACATTTCTTCATGCTTGTGCAACACCTCTCCACCTGAACTGACCACCTCCAATCTCTCAGCT